CCCCTCCTCCTTTTTCAGTCTTCCCTCCAACATACAGCATCTTTGCCTTTAAACGCAGAATCAACAGGCTGGTTCTAGCTTGAATGGTCCGCTTGTCTTCCCAGGTACAGTATTTCCTTGGATCATGGGGTTTACCTCTTTTACTGTATTCACTTTCGTGTAATAAATAAGCAGATATAACGATAATACAATATTCTAACTAGACAAAAGCCTTTTGTATGTATGCCAACGCTTGATACATGCTTTCGCCGGGAGAAATTTAGCTGCCTAAGTAGCAATATCTTTCTGCAGAAATGAAGCCTATTCACTTCAATTATTACTTCACAATTTGACAGATTGGGTTACCAAATCGAATCGAAAACTGACCAGAAATTTGTCGCCAATCCGTCTGTCTCACTGGAGCTTTATTTAGCTGATCACTAAAAAACTCAGACGCCTAAGTTGTTAGATTTCTATAACTGAACAATAAATCAGCGTAGGGTTCATCTCATGGGTAACAGAAACAAATTGAACATTCTCTTACCTCTATTCGTTTGTCTTTCAAGCAGTTAGATTTGCGGCTGCGGAACAGCTATTCTGAGTAGCTTATCTTAACTAAAATATACAACTTCCTTAACCAAGAGACGAAATCGCCGGGATGGTAACATGGTGGAGCCGGTGCCTGCTTAACATCCTTTATTTAAGGCGTCTTTGTCGTAAGGTGTAGCTTTCAGGAAGCCTCCCGTTCTTAGTTCCCAGAACAATTTAATGCCTATTATAATTACTTCTTACTCGCTCAGTAGAAAGAAGGACTTCATACTCTGTTTTGTGAACCGGGTGAAAAAAATCTGTACAGAAGACATACTGGGTGCTGAACTCCGGAATTTGTGGAATATCTTCATCAAGAATGGGTACCCGGAGCGTTTGGTGGAATGTAATTATTTCATATAGATATTCACACTCCAACAGAGTCTTCCTAGATAACTTTCCGAAGCGAACTCATTAATATGATGGCACATAAAACTACTCAAGCGGATAAGCCAAACGAAGCTAAAAATTAATCATCAATGAGCACAAGATGGGCATCTAACCTGATTCGTCAACCCAATCATCTGAACTTAACTCCTTCAAATAAAAGTACAAATAAGTCTTTTTTGCATGGGCCACTTCTGAATATACCGTGGAAAGGGCAAAATATTTAATGAGTCTGGTGCAGCATCCAGCATCTGAAATCACAGCCCGAATTTAGGTCGACGGCATCATGCCACTGAACCAAACAAAACAAAGGTGGGTAGATTTCACCTACTCAAAGCAAAATTATGTAACACAAGGATCAATAATAATCGAAACTAGTTTGACAGAGCATCTGCTGATAGAAAGTTGGGCCGTCGCCCGGCTCACTAGAAAGCCTGATTTATTGAAGCCTTCTGCGATCCGCTACTTCAAGTTTCAGGATCATGGTTGCCCGTTTCCTCCCAAAATAAACATGATAATACACAATCAGATGCGTTCACCCTCTCTCGCTAGCTCTAAACAGTTACACTGGAATCACGCACTAAACACTCTCACCAACATTCGCGGACTGAACCATCATATTGATTCTGTAAACCATTTTCTCCATTCTCCTTCTCCGCTCGTCTTTTTTTGACCGAAACACAAGTCTCCCACTAATCAGACACTACCCACCTCCAGGTCCCCAACTACACTTCCCACTCCTCCTTTCTACCCGAAACTGGTATCTGCGTTTTTATTCACAATAATTCACCGCGTTCAGGATCCCAAACCTTGACTTTTCCAATCGTGAATTTCAGCTAATGTGGCTGAAACTCCGAATTTCTTCCTTCAACCAATATTTTTGTGTTCTATATCGTTCCCCAATAGTTGCGAGTCTTCCATCTTTGATTTTCTATTTTTGAACATTGAACGATTGTTTGCAACCGACCCCAACTGCTTGAATACAATACAATACAATACCATCTTGGGAGATTTTAATGTTTATAATCAGGACTGTTTGACACATTCCTTTGCTACTTCTTCTTTAGGACGCGAAGCCAAAGACTTCGCTTTGATCAACAACCTGAGGCAACTAGTTGATCTCCTCACACGCGTCGCTGATCTAGCTAGTGATCGTGCCTACCTCCCTGATCTAATCCTCACTCCGGTCTCTTCTTTTTTCTCAGATATGGGTACCCTCCCTCCTCTTGACTCATCGGATCCCTGTATTTTTTATTGTTCTATTAGGTTTACTAGCCCCTAGACACAACCCACCTCGAGACACACATTCTGGCGCTACAACTCAGCCAACTGGGACGGTTCTCGTGATTTCTTAGTTGCTTATCCCTGGAACGACTGTTTCTCTTATCTTATATTTTATCTTTATCTTTTTATTTTACTTCCTTTTATTGATTATGCAATGGTACAATTTTCAAGAAGGAGGAAGCGGCCAATCAAAAAGCTGCCATTCGATACAATGAGGGAAGTCAGACGGTGGTGGTGGGATTCGCACACATCCCCGGGGTGATAATTTGACGTTACCACCGGGCCACCACCGCCCGGNACCGCCCGGACTTTATCGACATCGTTCTTTAAGATATGCATCTTTTTATTTCGCATTTTTCCAGACCCGGCAGGCCCAAACCCCCCGAATGGTTTAACCATGCATGCAACCGTGCTGTACGTTTAAAAGATCAGCCTTCCGCCGCTCGCCGACTCCCACCATCGCTTCGTGCTAGATAGGAACAGATGTTGGAGAACCTCAATCGCTGACGTAAAAAATAGGCACATGATAAGCATTGAGAAAACGAGTCGGTGAGCGAACAATTGTTTTCGGATATTCCTAGTCATGCTTTTACATATCATATAGTGGAAAAATTCTTACATAATGATAGCCATTGGCTCAATTTAAGGTTATTAATCGGAGGTAGAGAGTAATGGGAGTGTATGCGTGTGTGTGTGTGTAGGAATGTTTAGCGTGTTAGTTGATGTGACTTTTCCCCACTTGGGTCAAGTGGCACGTCATGTTCTGTTGGTGCATATTTAGGTGGTGGCTCTTGGATAGCCGTTTGGTATAGAATGGGCTTTGAGGAGCAATTGGAGATGAGTTATCTTTTTAATATTGTTTACTGTGGATATTAATAGAACTTTCTGTTTGACCGTGTTGAAACACCGCTTTCTTTAATAATTTTTCTTATCGTGGTATCTAACGTACAAAAAATCCTGGCAGCTTTTCCAAGTTTACGTTTGGAAGTAACTGGTGAAAAGTTGGAGAACTGTAGATAATGACCGTTACACATCACTTTCCGGTGAACAGATTGCTGTCTTATGCCATTTAAGCACCTACTACTTATAACATTCAAGGCTACTAACGAATCCTTAGTTCAATCTTTATGGGATAAAAAAGATGTAAATAAACAGAGTTGGAATTGCTTCCAAAGGGGTTCAAAAATGGCATAATCGATTGAAGAGTTTTTTTAAATCTGTGTGAGTCTGTGAATGTGATCAAGTTTTCTACAAAAGATTAATTAACGCTATTTTAGTCTCTGGAAATTCAATGGCACATTGATGATGATTGTGATTCTTCGCCGTAAACCTATTTATTGTAAGTGAAAAATACTTAAGCACTTAAACATTCTCTGCATGGTCAGCTAAAAACACTGGTAAAGATGAAATGAGAATAAGAAAAAAGGGTTTCGCTTTGTGAACAGTTGTTTATAATTGCTGGAGGAGACAAAAACGTACCGAAACTTGGAAAGACCGTTCTTCGGGACATAAAATCAATATTTTATGGATCAGTTCTAGTAGTAAATCCAAGTTAATAGGAAAACGACATCAAAAAACCGGTCGGTTTAAGGAAATAAAATCCACGAGGTACGGTAAATCTTTCTCCTAGGAGTTATAAACAGAACACGACGACTGAAAATGCAGTATAAATAAAAGCCTATAGTCTATCCCAAACCGATATTAAAGTTTAATTTTTAAATGTCACTCACTGCACACACTAGGTGCAATGTTTGATTCGGGTTTTTATTTTTCTTTAGATCACGATATGTATATGAGGCGATTCCCTTCCGATTACTTTTATCATGCACAACTCTTATTCCCCTTTCCAGTCTCGAATACTAATCGTTATAATGCTAAAGGGCAGAAAAACTCTATATCTATTGTCTGTTAAATAGTGAAACGGTGCGACAGATTTAGTATCCCCACGTTTGCTGGTGATCCTATATTTAATGCTTGATTTGTAGATTGAAGGGATCTGTCAATTTGCCAGTCATTACATAACTATGTATTCCTATCAGACGATTTATGTTACCAGGTAATCCACAGCCATAACGTCTATTGTACTCCCACAAAATGGTCTCATCCTAGTCACTCGCTTCAATTGCATTAATTGGCCTTGGGACTGTTAGTGAATGCGTATGAAAGGCCCCACACAGAGTATCAATGACGTGCACTGAACAGATTGCTGAGCTTCATTTTGTGTATCTTCCCTTATGGTAACAGGCAATTGGAGGTGGGTCGACCGCGAAAAGCTAGAAAACAACACCCAAATGCGGCAAAACTGCCATGGTTGATCTCCATATCCAACGACTAACTGGAAGACTGAATCTGAGATAGCGGGAGTGAGAAATAATGCTACAGACGTCGAATTATTAGTCAAAACAGAAAAGAGTGTAAGTTACTTTTACACAAAACTTCACTTATGCTTTAAGACCAAGGGCGCTCTTTACAGCACAGAAAAACGTACGTTCAGACGGAACAGCATAAGTCCTGATAATACGACCTTCTGAAAGTTTTATTCTCATTTTGAATGAATTACATTGCTTCAATGAACATATTATCAGAGAGTAAATTTTTAGAAAGAGGGTTTCAATAATAAAAATACAACCGTAAGTTTAGAAGAAAAAGGGAGTTGCTTGGTATTGTTGAATTATAACTTGAATATAGGACCATTTTCTAATAAACTTTTACACATATGTCACCTCCGGTTTTAAGCTACTCCTTAGGCGACCACGTGATCGTTACTTCCAACTGGTTGGATTAGCTTGCATGAGGAGGATAATGAAACTCAACATGAACCCTTTACATGTGTTAGCTTTGAGTCCAACGAGGTAATTATCCTTGACAGTGAGGGATCCCGTTTCTCTAGCTGACTGACAGGACAATGACAAAATGAAATATGCAAATGAACACCCACTGAGTTGCTTCACGTTATTGGGGGGATAGGGCAGAATTATGAAGCATAGTAGAAGTAGAAGCAACAGTGTAACTGTTCACCATGATATGTTTACAATTAAATTGCCCATCATCATGATTGAACAGCCAAGAGTGTTCGGCGTAAATAAAAGTTTTCAAAGAGGAAGAGAAGGAATCGTTTGGAGGACCTAGTCGCCCATCTCGTGCACGGGTATCTAGTCATTCTTATCATATTTCTGTTCCCAGATGTCGTACTTCTCTGATCCAGTCATTTTAGCCCCCGAAACGCCAAGCTGTGGAACACTCGCCCACTTTCTGTTTTCCCCCAACTTATAACCGTACACCCTTTAAACGCAGAATTAAAAATGTGGACCTTAAGTGCATGTCCCCTACTCTCCCCTCCACATTATGCTATGCACCATCTGATTCGTAGTCAAATTAAAGGTGCCTAACTGATACTATCCCACCCCCTCAACTGAACTTAAGGAAGAACCCGCGGAGCGCAAATGAGACTTTCTGGTGTACCCCAAGGCTGAAGGCGAAAATATAATTTATCCCAAATGGGATTGAACCCTTGTGGGGGAAAAGGTAGAATGAAACAGCATTCACCAGTTTTTCCGCATATCAGAACGAATTACATACCATGCTTCCGTGGTCGCTTTCGTCACTATCCCAATCATCATCCCAATCTTGAGCTGCGGGCGTATCTGAATAAGAGGGAAACTGGGGTGGAGGAGGTGGCGGAATATTAGGTTCTGGAATATCCAACGGCTCCACAAACGAGGAAGGAACAAGACCATCACGTCCAAAATCATTTTGAGCACGCCACCAGCCTGCACCAACGGACTGGTCTGTTATAGTTACTTCTTCTCCAGCGGCGACGCTAAGTTCGCCTTCTGCTTGTGCCGAAAAGTCATAGATTACACGTGCCTATCAATGCAATCATAATGTGTGTGACAGGCAACTAACCCTCATCACGGTATTCCACTGCGGTCTCCTAACAGCTGTCTATTCGGAAACCGATCTGATTGGCTAAGAATATGTAGCTCAAGGTCAGGTCAGGTCCAGTCCAGTTCAGTTCAGTTCAGTTTGCACAGGACAGTAGTGGCCGAGACCAATCGTGCGTC